TTAGTTATATAGGGAGCCTTGCTCCGCGTGAATTGAAGGGGTACTGTTTCGGTGGGTGTTAAATCGAAGACTGACTGAATGACTGATACGAGTTGAGCTCGCAGGCTCCTTCTTTATTTTAGGTCATAACTAAAAACCTTTACCGAAATATACACCCCAACGCATTCCCACACACAACTCAACCCAATAAATAATGCGATAAAAAACCCTAATCTTGCGACACTTCAAATCCAGACTAAACAAATGAGGCGATACAAATAAATCCAATATAAATGAACTAATATAATATAAAATCTAACAGATCGAACAGCCTACTTTAGGTATATAAGATACCTTTACCTTAATCCATTCTGCCGGTACATATTTCCAGGCAAAGCTATTACAAGTACAAAGGAAAAGTACTCCCAGTAACCAGTACAAGTAGCGCTATAAGTTATTTTTACTCCAAGTAATAAGTAAGAAGTATTTTTAAAAAGTACTTGAAGTAATAAGTTACTTGAAACTAAAATTTCAAGTACCCACTCGTTTAAGTACTCCAATTATTTTAGTTATTTAGAATAAATAAATGTGCTCTAAATAGCAAATTGTAGCAAAAAACTAGCAAATTGTAAATTTGAAACAATTTTTCAGTTTCTTCGCGTACATTTCTTAAATCTGCTATTAATGCCTCAGTTTCGGACGTTTCAGACACCTGTTCTGTATTATCTTCTTCAGTTTCTTTATCCGTATAAACTCGAAATTCTTCAAAACACTTAACGAAATTCGACCCATTGTTAGTAATTGTGGCTAGAATGTTTCCATCCAGATCATATGCCTTGTAAATGTCGTCTAAAATTCCGAATGTGTTCCTTCAAATCGACAACAAGATAATGCTACAGATTTACTTTGTAGATGGTCGGTTATCCAATGACAAGTTACTCCAATGAAACTTCTCTTCTTACAAGACCATATATTTGATGAAAAGTACATTTTGACAATTCAAGTTTAATATCTGTGATCATCTGACCACAACTGTCAAAACTTATTGAAACATTAACATAATAATATAAACTGCGATTTATTTTGCAAAATTGCAATTTTGAAATAGTAAAGAGATGGGATGTAAATTAGCAATGAATCGAACACTATGTGTTTCGAAATGTTTATAATAAGCGCACGGGAATGGTTTTAAGTCCTCCAATGGCGTTTCAGTAAAACCCGAGAGAAACCCCTTTGGAGATCGTAAATCAAATATGTGAGAAATAAACACGTGCGAAACTAGTTTTAGAACGGCGCGGCGGACCGGTCGGGGGTAGGACCGATTGCCTGAGTGTGATTTACGATCTCTGAAGGCGTTTCCCAAAGCTTTTGATGAATTTTAATACTCAAATTTTATTAGAAAGATCGCTTCAGAATAATGTATAGTACAACCGTATAATGCTCTGATGCGGAAGATACGGGACATCCTGTATAACTAATATACGGATGATAAATGTTAGCTATAAGAAAACTTTCAAAAATTGTTATTTTACTTACTGTTGAAAGTACTGGAAGTAGATAAACTACTTGGAGTAAATAAATAGTTCTTCAAGTACTTCTTATGTCAAACAAGTATCCAGGACATTTTAAGCTAAATACTGAAAGTACAAGTATTAAGTACCTACAATTTGAAAGTACTGGCAGTAAACTACACAAAGTAAAAAAGTACTGAATACTTTACTTGCAGTACATTTTTACTCAACTCTGTTTCCAGGTGACACAAATGTTTATCAAAATAGGCAACAATAATGACTTTCCTTGCTGTAACAAAGCAGGAAAGATATTGTCTTCTCATCATCAAGCTCGGTCGCTATGCTTTGAGATTAAGAATGCATTAATGTTGTTCCTGATAAGTAAGTAATCCCTGGGTCTATCCCCTGAGCAAAGTAACTTACCGGATAAATTACCGAGTTCGCTGATGCGCTCAGTATTGGCGAGCCATGGTTCAGTATCAATTCGCTCACTCATGCAGGTTCTGCTAAGGTCAGCCGTAGCCGTCCTAGCGTGCTGCAGGTTTGCCTGTAAACAGTTAATAGACTTAAGGTCTTTGCCCACTACACCGTATCATAGCATGACTGTAACCGTATCGACACATGCAAAAAAATATTCATTGTATGAACTACTATGAGGCAATACCCACTGAACCGTTCCGGCACCGGCCAACACCGTACCGTGCCATGCCCGGCCCGACAGCAATTCCCAGGGAGGAATATTTTGCAGGGGTCGAAACGTTCTGTGCATGGCATGCACCAATATGCATGGGCGGCCTAACCGCGTGGTTACTGCACATACTCCGCGTTTGCTCCGTGTTTGCTCTGCATTTGCACCCCGAACAGCAAACTTCTGTTTTAGTATTCCTTTCGCGATAGAACACTGCAGCAGGTGTGAACCTTCAACATCCAAAATATATGGATACTCAAAGGAAAGAGAGAGTCTGGAAGGAAATTTGAAATGGTGACATTCGAAAGTACTGAAAAAATTTTCTTAATCATCAATTAAGTGTCTAAATAATGTCCTCAGCTTTTCGTTCTTTTACAGCATCGTGAATCCAGTACCGTGTCGCTGCTTTTGCGTTACTTCTTCTTCCTCGTCCATAATAATGGCAATCATTGCCAGTTGTCTGATAGATAACTTTCTAATAGCCATACCGTCGCTTTTTTGATACTATCCGCAGGTATGCGCAACAGCAAAAACCTACAACAACTAATAGATCTGGTGCTGCACTAAACGGGATCCGAACGGGGCATCTACAGTTTGCATACACGGGCATAATACGCGTTGCATACGGGCATAATGATACGGGTTCATATTTGACCTAAATAGATTTGAGCATGTAACGCCGTATCGCAATTACATTCAGATGTTAACCTGTGAGAGACGTAGATCCTTTCGTTTATTAACCATTTTATTTAAAATCCTTCATAACTGCACCCCAAAGTACTTATCAGATAGGTTCCAGCAATTATCAACTCATGAGCTTGCTACTCGTTCACGTTCTGATACTATTCTTACATTTCCCGTTCATAGCACTGAAATTTATCATAGATCATTTACAGTACAGTCGATTGCGCTGTGGAATGGACTGCCTTCTGAAATTCGTAATATTTCTAGAATTACTAATTTTAGACATGTTTTAAAGAGCCACTTGCTTGCCCTTCAACTGGCTGTTTCCTGATTCTTTGTTCTTTGTCTTTCTCTTTTTTTCCTCTCTTCAACTGCTCTCACTTGTTGGCAACTGATATCCGGCAGATTCTTTTAGTTTCTTTTAGTCGCTCTCTATCTCTCTTTTTGTGTCTTTTCTTTATTTTTCTCTTTGTTTTTCTTTTCTTGCTTAATCTTATTTGGTGATGTTAATAATATCTAATTGTCACTACTTGCCATATTCAGCAAATACTATTTTTATTTTTGTTTGTTCTGTTGGGTCATTTGGCAGAGATCGCTTGTGCGATAAAATGATCCATTTGCTGATACTGTTTAAGTTAAGTGTATCTTATGTAATTTTGTATTTTTGTCTGTGGCAATAAATGATAAATAAATAAAAAAAATAAATAAAATAATACGCGTTTCATACGAGAATGCAGTTGGTCCGTTGCAGTGGGCGGAACGTTTTCTTACGTGCTTGACACGTTCCTGTTACGGTCCTAGTATGGAACGGTGTAGTGGGCAAAGACCTTTATCCACTGAGCTGAGTACAGTTTCACCCACTTACCTCTCGCTTGGGCTGGGGCGGCCGTTCCACCGGCTCCTCTCATTCCAGCAAGAGTCGAGGACTTTCCCCTTCCTCCATACTCCCGTGGTGCTGAACGAGCACCTGCGCGACGCCCCCTGCTGAACACCCCGGCACGTGCAGAAATCTTTCCTCGGTCGGGTTTCATATCTGGCGCTCTCTTCTCGCTTCTGGTCTCCACTCCCTTTCCTTTCATTCGAAACTGCTCACAACAGCTTTGTAGTTTAGCTGCTTCTCTGAAACAGCTTAGGCTTTTTAGCCATTTGCTCAGTCGTGGACCTATCAGAGTGTCCCCTCTTGGCCAAAGACTTAGAGGTCTTTACACTCTTCTCCGATGGAGTATTAAGTTTATCTGTCTCCATAAGCTTGCGCAGGTTCCTTCTAGCAAACACTGACAGCCGCAGGCGTTTTTGTTTTAGAGTTAGACTATCTAGTGCCTTGACAGCCTCCTCTTCATCTTCCTCTCCTTCAAAGAAGAACCTGCTCCTCTTCCAAAGACGGAGAACTTGATTTGGGCGCGGACCGTCTGGCTGCCACAAGTGTAGATTGTGATGGATCCTCCATCTTTTTTATTTCGTTTTCAGGATCGAGGTTTATCACCCTTTGTCTAGGGTTTTATTTTTACTGGGCGTTTCCATACAAATCCTATTAGTAGGGTAGTCCATCGGGGCAGTGCTCCCATACCCCGATAAGCCTATTGAAACTGAAAGTCGGCAGGCCTGTTTATCGACTGGCAACTCTAGATCCGATTCTTTTGATATGGTACAGGGGCACCTCGTGAATAAGCAATAAAAACTGCAGTGTCGGTCCTGATTTTGCCATAAGACAAGAATCCTGAGTACGGCAAAATAAGTAAGACAAGCCTACCTAGGATTTACCGCATGCTCACCCTCATTGTTCGTGATACTTGGGGCGGCCAATGTCTTTGAAGTCTGCCGGAGAGTATAATTTGTTTTTACACGATATGGCCGAAATGGAGACAATCAGTTGCGATGAGTTAAGAAAAGTAGAAGTAGTAGAGGAAATACTATGAAGGGTGATCCCGGATATGAGAGGGAGCTTTTTCGTGAATTGTTAGTAGACTAAGGCATTTTTCCCTCCTCTGCCCAAAAAAAAACTACCCCTCAATACGCAAGTATTAAATAAGAAATGCCCGCCTTAAACTTTTTTAAAATCTATGAATTATTAAAATTAACTTTTTAACAAAAAATTTTCCAATTCTTATTATTTTAATTTTAATAAAAATTTGTTTTAGATGATGAAGATCAAGATCACCACCCGCAAGATTCTCGTTACCCTCCACTAAATTTAACCAGCGAAGAAAAACGCCTTCTCATGAAAGAAGGTATAAAACTTCCCAGTCATTACCCATTAACGAAAAATGAAGAAAAAGAATTAAAACGTATCCGAAGAAAAATTCGTAACAAAATTTCCGCCCAAGATTCGCGAAAACGTAAGAAGGAATACGTCGATAAACTCGAAGAAAAAGCAAAACGCACCACGGAAGAAAACGAATTTTTAAAGAAACGTATCAAGTTACTTCGAAAACAAAACAGCAAACTCATGGAGCAAATGCGTAAACTTCAAGCAGTTCTTTTTAATACAACATCCACAAAAGCTGCACCAACAACTTGCTTGATGATCGTTTTGTTTTCAACGTTGTTAGTTTGTTTGCCTAATTTGCGTTTATCCGAAAAACAAGAATTAGGTGAACAACAATTATTCGCTGCTCGTCGAGCTTTGCTTTTTAATCAAAAAGCAAATAACGAGGAAGACGTTAACATGGACGAATTTCTCGTTTTTAATAAAGACGATGAAGTTGAAATTGATAACTTCGTTGAAGATGAATCGGAAAACGCAACGGAAAATGATTTCAATAACTTTTTAAGTGAATTAACGAAAAGGTATGCGAATTTACCCCAGGAGAAAAATTGTTCGGAAATGAATATCAACGGAAATATGGCTGAATTTTGCCGCAAATACGACGGTGAAATAAAAAGCGTTATTCATAGTATGAAAGAATTTTTAGAAGGTGAAGCGGTACCGAAACAAAAAGGTTTTATTGAACCGGATATTTCCGATGATGATGAAGATTACGGTAAAGATATTAATAGAAATTTAATTAAAGAAGAGCCACCTTCGAAAAGGATTAAATTAAGCGTTTCCGATGTTATCTATCAGGAGAAAGCTTCGGATCAAGATTTACTGTTGAATTTTATGGATAGAAAACAAGAATGATGAGGGTTTTTTATTATTATTTTCTGTTTATTTTCTGATTGTTCCATTTAAATAATAGAAAGAGTTTATTTTTATTTTTTAAACTATATATTAATATATTACTGCTTATTATTGCTTTAGGGTTAGGTTAGATTCCGTTTCTTTTCGTTTGTTCGATGTTCCAATGTATTTTAACCTTATTAGCTTTATTTTAATAATGATTAGAAACAATTATAGTTCACTCTAATCGTTACTAAACATTATTAAAATAAATTTATCAACAATTTTTTTCAATTAACTTGCACGTGATCATTACAAACCGTACTTTTCCAAATAACATGATGTAAGTAGTCTGTTTTCTTCATTTCCTTGAGAGTTATTTAAAAAAAAAAAACGTCGCTTTTAATGTGTAATAACTATATTTAATATAAAAAGAAACGCTATAACACGAGATTATATTCTATACATAAAATAAATAAATATATAATTATTGTTTCAAAGGGCTACAAAAATAATATATATGTATATGCAGAGACCACTGATAAAGTGTGAATGGATGTAGAAATTTCGAATGAACTTTACCGTTCGTTTTTAATATACTGGTTTTCTTATATAAATTACTGAAAGGAATGTTGTCTTTTTTTGTACCTACTCATCTTTAGAAGAAGAAAACAATATTTATTTGGACTTATATAAAAATTATAACAATAAGAAATACGAAAAGAAATACATATATAAAATAAATATAAAAAAAGAGTCCAAAAGGGCTATAGACCTTAGTCTTCCTGCCCGTGATTTTGCGTTCGGTTTGGTTGTACTTGGGTCTTCTCAGTTGGGCCTTATTTTTTTAAGAAGTGTGAGTCGTGTTATGGGACAGCGGGTAAGGGAAAGGGGAATGATGATGAGATTTTTTAAGGCGTTTTTGGGGAAGTTCATAATTGCTTTAAGGGCTAAGGATTGTAGACGGGAGTTTATAGGAGGAATCTTTGTAAGGTCGTAAAGGAGTTCGTTGGAAGGGTTGAAAAGTGGGTTGTGAGGGTGTCTAATGCGGGTGATGATTCTCAGGGCTGCTCTCTCTGCTACTTCCAGATGGTACTGTGATCCTCTCGGCGCATCAGTCATGATTAATGAGGCATATTCGATAATAGGTCGGCATATTGAGGTGTATATGTGAGTAGCGCATTTGGTGGATATCCCTCGGGCTCTATATGAGAGTGAGCGGGAGTGTTTGGCGCGGTTTTTGACTTTCATTTTTACTTTGATGGCATGGGCAGAGAATTTAAGGGTTCTATCCAAGGTAATGCCGAGGTAGTTACAAGTTGGTGATGCTGTGATAGGAAAAGATTGAATTATTATTGTGGGAGGAGCAACGCGTCTGCAGCCTTAGGATTGATGATGGAATGTCTACATCATGTGCGACGAGAGTAGTATCATCGGCATAAAGTAGGGCGTAAGACATCGGATCGAAGACGTCTGGGTTGTCGTTGTAGATGTCATGGCAGTAGACGTTGTACAGTGCTGGCGAGATGGGAGAGCCTTGAGGGAGACCTTGTTGAGCGGTGAAACTGTGAGAGTAGTAGTTCTTCACTTTAACCAATGAGGAGCGGTCTGAAAGAAATTTTTTTAGCAGGTTAAGAAGATAAGATGGGATTTTCAACATAGCTAGCTTGTACAGTAGACCTCTGTGCCATACGGAGTCGAATGCCTTCCGAACATCCAGGAAGACTGCGGCGGATTGTTGTTTTTGGTAACGTGCGACTTGGAAGTTTGAGACAAGCACTGCCAAGGGATGAGATGTAGATCTACCTTGTTGGAATCCAAATTGGTATGACGGAATCCTCCTTGCAACAACATCGAGCAGCTTGTTCTTCAAGTGTACCTCGAAAAGCTTCCCCATTACGGGTAGCAATGAGATAGGACGGTAGTTCGCAGGGTCGGATAGAGAAGAATCTTTCTTGGGGATACATATGATAATAGAGGTCTTCCAATCTTGTGGGAAATGCTGGGTGGTAAGGCAATAGTTGTAAATTTTTCTTATGTAGGCGTGGATATCAAGATCCAGCTTCCTTAAGATTTCCCTTGAGATGTTGTCGTATCCAGGGGCTGTGTTGGTTCCTCTGTTAAGAAGTGTGAAGTATTCTTCTTCCTGCATGAGAGCATCTTGAGGTGTTTCGGACGAATTGAGAAAGGCGTGTTGGTACCAATTGTCTATTGTGTTTTTGTTGTGAGGGCAGAACAGAGCCTCATTGCTGAAGGAAAACACCCTCTCAAGGTATTCAGCGTGGATATTTACAATTTTTTCCGGACTAGAGTGTGAGCAGCCGTCCGTAGGGGCAATAACCTCCTGGGTTTCTGGGGACTTTTGGTACTTCGAAAGTTTGCGGACTTCTTGCCAGTAGTTTTTACCCTTGCTTCTGTTGATTTTATCAATGTATTTTTCACTTCTGAATTGCTGCACTAGCTTTTGGATATTTTTATTAAGCTCATTGGACATTCTTTTCAGAGCAGGCTCCTCATAGGATCTAAAATCGCGGTAGAGTCGTCTCTTTTCTTTAATTAAACGGAGAATAAATGGTGGCAGAGGGAAATTGTAATGTTTCTTGTTGTAAGAAGGGCTCGCTTCATCCACCAAATTAAGCAAGCGTTTATTAAAGGTTGCGATAGACTCGGGTGTGATAACAGGGTTAGATCTCACATATTCCTTTATTCCTGCGTTCACTCTTTCCATATTACAAAGTTTATAGTTTTTGATCAGAGTAGGAGCTACTTTAGGTATTCGAGTGGTTGTATTAATGCAGATCACAGGACCCAGATGGTCAGAGCACAGATCAGGAATGACATTAACAGACGTGATGAGCGGTCTTATGTTGTTTGTGCAGAAGATTAAATCAGGCTTGGAGTTGGGATTCTTTGCCATTACAAACGTCGGAGGTGTTGCGATGCGCATTTTTATTTATATCAAAAATTGAAAATGTCTCAAGCAGATCTTAGAAAAGAGTGGCTGTCTGGATGGATGATGTGCTTCCTCACCCAGTTTTGAACAACTTGAATTCTCTGCATATAACAGTTCATCGCCTAGATAATATGTAGGTCATCATAGTTCTGATAACAGCCTTGTAGAGTTTGATCTTGTGAGCAGGATCCAGCTTACTTCGTCTGTTACTTCAAATACTTGGTTTTGTGGAATATCGAGAAAAGCAACGCCGTGCTTGTTCCTAGATGGATCTAGGTTCGCTATCACGATTATTGGTGTCTTCTGTACATCGCCGGGTTGACGTTCGGCACCTGTCTCTAAAGGGTCGTTTACACGGAGATAGTTTACACGCCACTAGCGCACTTTTTTACTAGCTGCTAGTAAAGTAGTTCTGTGTAATTATGGTGGCGTGTAAACTATCCAGATAGTTAGCTAGCAAATATGTATGCGAGTAAAGTTGGAGACCGGTCAACTTTACTAGCTACTAGCTCACTTTTTTACTATCTAGATAGTAAAAAAGTATCGTGTAATTATATCGGCGAGCAAAGTAGGTACAGAGTAGAAGAGATTTTATAATACTGACGGTTGTAATGTCAAGGTTGGTTCAGTTATATATAGTGAAAATGACACCTAAAATATCAAAAGAAGTATTACGTGGATGTGCCTTGGTTCTTGGAGCCGTTTTACAAGAAGAATTAAAAAACACGATTTGCGAGAAACGAAAAAGGAAATGGGTGAGGGAATGGATTTCTCGCAGGGATAAGTTAGGTGCTTCTTGCACCCTTTTAAAAGAATTAGCTGAAGAAGATCCGACAGCTTATAGAAATAGCCTAAGAATAAGTACTACAAATTTTAATAATTTGCTGCAAATGGTAGAAGATTCAATCCAAAACACTAATACGGTAATGAGATTGGCTATTCCCACAAGAGTAAAACTTGAAATAACGCTACGCTATTTAGCCACTGGAGACAGCTTTAAATCTTTGGAGTATCTATTTCGAGTCCCGGAATGTACAATTTCGAAATTTTTACCGGAAGTTCTAACTGCAATATCAGATGTTCTCAAACCCTACCTAAAGGTTAGTTAATCTAATAAAGTTATTACCTAAAGAAATAGGAGATAAATAAAACTAGTCATGAACAGTAAATAAGTTTATTTTTCTCTTCTTTTTTAAAACAATTACAATGACATATAAATTGCATTGTCTGTACTATCAAGGAAACTATTCTGCATGGCTTCCTCTAACACATCAGAACTCTTTTTGTTCCAAACAGTATTTGGAAGGACATTGGCGTAGTCAGTACTTTTCTTGGTATTTGTAGTAGATGTATAATTTTCAGTAATAACACTATCAGGATCGGGTGATGATTGTGGAGTAGAGCAAACTACAGATTGAGCATATGTAGAGGGTGAACATGATGGCATACATGATGAAGACAGCAGATTAGAAAGTTTTGTATTAGTAATCAAATTCTATATTTGTTGTTGTAGTATTATTGCCTCCCTACTAGGTAATTCTAGAAGCTCTATGGCAACATACTATCCAAAAAGTGCTTTAAGTTTCTTTAAGTTTCTAGTGCTTTAATTTCTTCCTGAGAGAGATTATCTTTTCCCTTTAGCTGGTTCTC